CAGCATATAAATAGTGTGAATAGATATTGAGGTACATATTAGTGTGTGAATACAGAAAGTGCATATAGGTATATTCATATATGAATTGTTGCATAACATCAATCAAAAAGCAGAAGAAAAAGGTTAGTAAATGAGCTCACACCTAGGGGTGTCAACAGTTTGAGCTTTTAACTAGCCACTCGATCTCGAACACGAAATAAACAATAGAACTTGTTTTAACTTCAAGCCTTGTAACACCTGTGTTTAACTCGGCTCATTTGAGCTATTCAAGCATACACTTTTTTAAGCCAAGCATTCTCATATATTTATAAATCATACACTAAAAAAAATAGAAGTTATCGAGTTTGAGCTAATAAACGAGATAATCGATTGTGAGTGCAAGCCCATAAATGAGCATCGAGCTTGAGCCTGGTATAATTTTTTCGAGTAGAGTTCGAATAACCTACTACTCAGCTCTGCTTGTTAGACCCCTACTTAATTACACCCCTACCTCTTGTTCACTTGATTTCCTTTTAACTAGCTAGAATTAATAGAATCGGGTCATTGGTTAAATGACCTTATGATAAAAATTTCTTTTAAATATATGACTTTTTTGACATAATTAAGGATATCATTGCTTAGCAGATAAATGTCATGTCTATACATAGAAATGTCTAAAAACTTATCAGAAGGTCAAGTATTTAAAAAAAACACTTGTCAAGATGTCATTTAACTAAATAACCTAAATTGACTTTTTATTGCAAAAGCCAAAATGTTATCAAGAATATATTATACAATAATAATCAAAATATTTAGGTATACAATCTTAAATGAAATTTTAATTAAATTCATAACCTTTTAATGAATATGAAACCTATTTTTCATGAATTTAATTAATATCTTATTTAAAATTTATAATAAAAAATAATCAATGGATGGTTATCTATTTGGGTAATTAATGTTTCAATATCATACAAAATCAAAACAAAATAAAAATAGAGTATGGTTGGATATGGATATAATTAATGGTATGTTCAAAGGTGTAACTATTATTAAAAGGGTATGGTTGTCAGTGAAATTATATAAAAAATAGAGTTAAGTATAATTTTTCTAGGTCTTTAAATGAATAAATGTCCAAACATAAGTTTTTTGAGTAAAACCATAAACATTACAACTTTAAGATTTATATGAAATTAAATAATTGTATTTATTTTATAATGTTACTCCCAAAAAATTATTGGATCCGCCTTCAAGTTATAAATGGTTTGGCATCTATTAAGTGTCATACAGCAAAATCATACATGTCTTATTTTTGTATCATTTTCATTCCTTATTTTTCTTGAATGTAAAGAGAGTAATTCAAATCATCATCATAATTGTGTTTGGTTTGTGGATTTCTTCTATGAAATTGGGGAGTGGTGAATTCCATATTTCTATTTACTACTTATCATGTAACATTTTCGGTCGTTAAAATTGATTGTATTTGTTGGTAAGCATCTTAAACCAAGTAAGCCGGGTAGTCTTTTCTAGGCTTGTTTGTTAACAACTTAAAGAGCTTAATGAGACTAACAACTTATTTGGCCAGTTATACATGATTGCTTGGTAGTGACTTAATGATATAAAAAGTGGCTTATTCGGTAAGTTTATAAAAGGAACTTTATACAAAAAGTCAAGTTTTTCTAAACTCATCTCTCCAAATAAAAGAACATGTTTTTTCCATCTATATAAAAACCATCATAAACAAAAATCTTCTTAACTATACAAATAGATTCATCCACATAGACAACTTTATCCAAATAGATCTTAATGGAAACCAACCAAACATCTCCTTCTTCACTTACCTGGTAAGACTTTTGGACATTGTTATGCCTCTCGTCGAATAAGATTCTTAATCCATGTCATTCTCAATCGGTAAGGTAAGTAATATCAATAAGCATTCAATAAATAGGCCCTTAAATTTCATAGATTTGTCTGTTAGCAACGTCACAACAATCCAATCCATCCAAGTTCTCAAAATCCCATGGACGTGAGGATCTTCCATTACTTGGGTGAACTCACGGAATTCGATTTTATTTCGTTCAAATGATGAAAAAAAGCCTTCTCAAAATATTAAAACATAATAATTTTAATTTTTTAAAATAATACTTTTTTAAGCTTACCAGTCAAACTCGAACCGGGGCTTTTTGTACAAAGGTAGAAACATTAACCATCTACGCCATCAAAGTCTTTGCTTAAATTTCAATTTCAAAAACTATATGATGACACCTTTCAGAAACGTATTTTTTTCCCTTACGACAGAACTATGAAGCAGTGGCCCGGACCATCACATCAATCAACGTAGGTCCGCCCTGCAGTCTGTGCCCATCTTTGCGAACAAAGATATGTACGGCAAGCGAGAAAACGTGTGATGTTGGCATCTGTACCGGCATTTTCTCAACCCGAACTCTTTGGATCCATGAGTGTTGTTCCTTTCTTGTGGATCCAAGATATAGAGTCATGGAGTCTAGACCTACATATCCCAACTAAGAAGATGCATTTTGTTGGAGCTTTTGTGGCAAATTTTCACATCATGAAAAGCAAAATCCAAACAACACTCATTCTTACACTTTTCACCATTTTCAGCAAAAATTCTGCCTTCACCTCCGTAATTTACATAAAATCTTAACCTTGCTTCAATTGCAATTCATATATTCTATTCTCCCCTGCTGTTTTAGAACCAAATGCTGGAAAGAAATCCAAAAGGTAATTGCTCATGACACCAATCAGGATGTGCATTTGATACGCAGGACAGGACAGGACAGGTCAGATCAGGGCAAAAATTTGTTGTTCAGTATTTGACATGACAAAAATTGTGATTGGACAGGATTGAGTGCCAAAATAGATGGAACAAAAACAAGGGGAAATCAACGTAAATAGCCATTTTCATCGACACAATTCACCTCTTAGCCATCCTCCTTCCATTTTTACCATTTTATTAATACCTCAGCAAGTGCCCTTGCCACAACTTGTGGAATGGTGGCTAGGAGATGAATTGCATGGGTCGAAATTGTTATTTATGTTAATTTCCCTAAAAATAGAGGATAAGAGATGAGATTGGTAAATTACTAAAATACCCATGTCAAATCAAAACCCAAAAACCCTCTACAATTCTTTTATCCGTCTACCTCACCCCCATCGGTTCAGTCCCATCAGTCCAATCTCGTGAGCGTATCAGATGCACCAGCTTTAACTTTTAACTCTTTATCTGGCAACATGTGAACAAATATGAAAATTGGATTTGGGTTTGAATACAGTAAAGCTGTAAAATTGAGGAATACATGCAAAATAGGGGAAATATAAGGCAACCAAAAGAAAGATGATGGATCTTCTTTTTCTCTTTAAATCAATCTATAAAGATAAGTCTAGTGAACCATGTGTAAAATGAAAACATGAGTCCCCACATTGCCTAAAAGAACCAATAAACTAGTGGACAAACTACATGACCAGAAGCTAGAATCAAACTTTTGACTGACCATCACAGTTTCTTCCTAATTTTCCAAAATGAAAAAAAGACAAGTCAAAATCTAAAAAAAAATATACATTCAGCTACAACAGTTTCCTGCATTTTTGGAGATTTCAGCACTAGAGGTGGACCCACTATGGTGCATACGATGGCACGGGCCACCGCTTCATTCCTTCGTCGTAGTGTAAAAGAAATTACGGTAGTGGAAGGTGCCACCGTCTTATTATGGTGGGTGCGACCGTAATATTTTGTTGGGTGCAATCGTATATTCCTTGAAACTATAATAACAACACAAGTTTCTCTTGATATAGTTGGTCTGTATGGTCTTTTCTCTCCTTACGGGCACGTGTTCGAATCCCATTTATATCATTTTCTTAGCTTTTAGTTTTTAGTTTCAGGTTTATTATGTTTCTGGAGGAAAAAAAATTGGGATAAAAACTCGAACACAGAACCTTACATACCAAATAAAAATCCAAAACTTCAATTTTTATAGTTAAATGGAACCAGCACTTGAAAAAATTTCTAGTTCTACTTCTGTCCAGCATTAATTATATAATAAATAATATTCAATGAATTTAATATCCAAGAAGCTCCCTACATTTAATTGGTGGCAGCACAAAAGTATTTCTCTTTAGCCGTATTCAATTTTAGAGGTTTCTTCAAATGTGCATATATTTAGGGGTATTTGGGATTGTTTATTTTAGGTGTTTTTTGACTTATTTCAGTCTGGTGGTGATAAGCTAAATACTAGTGTTTAGATGAGGAAAAATAAAACTGCTTATACCGGTGCCAAACCCATACACCCCCTTACACTCTCACCTACTTTAAGTTTTGGAGTATCTGTTGAGACAAAAGAAACATAACAACTCCCATAAACGCTTTTAAGTTTTGGAATATCTGTTGAGACAAAACAAACATAACAACTCCCATATTCCATTTTCTTCATTTAGAAGAATCAGCTGGAGATGCTTTTTAAGTTGCCCCATATTTTGGTTTAAACAGCACTCTTTAGTTACTGTATGTAGGACCATCTTTGTTACAAAAACCAGTTACCTTTTTATTTGATAAGTTTCTGCACATCTTTTGTGCAACAATGAGAGAAAACCACTGCAAAATGTGTTACAGACAGCAAATGCCATATTTGCATTATTTAATGGAAGCCTATCACTCTTCGATTATGTTTGAACCCTTGACCATTCTAGTATTGAGCGAAGGGTTATACCTATAGGTTCGGTATTATAGGTCAATCCTCGATCAACAAGAGTTGCACGTGGAAAGACACGACCCCACTGGTTGCGGGCCTGTCGAGATGCTTCCTTGCTGTGAGGTGGGTTGTGCTGGTAACCCAGGTACCACACGGCTAATGACCACTACAACAAAATTGGCTTTATAGGATGCTTAGGGTGTGTTTACTTGAGGCTTAATGAGCTTACTGGATAAATTGGCTTATTCGGACAGACAAAATAGCATGTTTACCTCGGGATTATTCGCTCAGAAATGGGCTTATTCGCCCAGATCAAAAACATTAGTTGTCCAGATTAAGCCATGAAAAAGACTCTCCCTACCCTTATTCGCCCTACCCTTCGCCCAGATCAAAAACTTCCATCGACGCTGTCTCTTCTCCATCCAAAGAACCCTAATCGGATGACGCTCTTTTTTCATCGATCGACGCTCTCTTCTCCATCCAAAGAACCCTAATCGGACGACGCTCTATTCTTCATCGACAATCGACAGTCGACGCTGTCTTCTTCTCCATCCAAAGAACCCTAATCGGACGACGCTCTATTCTTCTTCTCCATCGACAGTCGACGATGTCTTCTTCTCCATCGACAGTCGATGCTGTCTTCTTCTCCATCGACAGTCGCTGCTGTCTTCTTCTCCATCGACAGCCGATTGCTCTAAATTTCCATATCGATTTCATGATTGTTCGATTTCTGTTTGCTTGTGTTTGCTGCTACCTTTTTATCGATTTCATGTTTGTTCGATTTTTCTTTGCTTGTCTTTGTTGCTAGAAAGAATCAAAGAAACCCTAGCCGAGCCATGAAAGTTGTTTATTGTGTTTTATTCTCAGGGGTAAATTGGTCATTTCTGTTATTCAGACTGATGATTCAGATAGAAAAGTAAACATCAACATAAATTTATCCAGACAGACAAATTTATCTAGACAGGCAAATTTATCCATGCAGGACTTAATAGAAAATTTGGTAAACAGCCCCTTAGAATGGCTAAGCATCCTATGAAATACTTTATAAAACAGAAGTTTATAGGCTCAAACCAAAAAGTGAAATATCTAAAAGTGTTACGATGCGTTTATAGGATGTTTTCAGGCGTTTTAACAAGTTCTTTTAAGATGTTTTTAAAAATAAAATGTCTTATTAGCAATTTTACACGACACTATTAGAAAAAGTGTCCTATAAACACAAATGTCTTATAAAAAGATGGGTTTATAAGACATTTTATTTTAAAAGGTCCTAAAAAGCTTGTTAAAACGCCTTAAAGCGTCGTGTAAACCTATTGTAACACTTTTAGATAGGATGTTCTATAATTTCTTCCTATAAACTTATGTTCTATAAAGTATTCTATTAGGACGATTGGACATTCTAAGCGTCCTATAAAGCCAATTTTGTTGTAGTGTTATAAGGAAACTTAGATTGGAAGATGCAGTGCTATCTTTTTCTTCCTAAAATCAACAAGGCAACCAAGAAAGCATAAAGAGCATCTAAGGATGGTTTATAAAAGGCAACAGTAACCTAATTAATATCAACCCCCAACACCAATCATGATCTCCTTATATGATGCTTATCATGTAGTGGCAGCTATAGTCCCATTGTATGTTGCCATGATCTTGGCATACATCTCTGTGAAATGGTTGAAACTCTTCACACCAGAACAATGCTCAGGCATAAACAAATTTGTGGCTAAATTTTCAATCCCTTTGTTATCCTTCCAAGTGATCTCTAAAAGCAATCCCTACAGTATGAACCTCAAGCTCATTTGTGCCGATTTCCTTCAAAAAGTCATTGCATTAGTCGGTTTGACAATAATCGTGTATGTTCGATCCAATGGACATCTAAACTGGGTCATAACGGGTCTTTCGTTATCAACGTTTCCCAACACTTTGATCCTGGGAATCCCACTGCTAAAGGCAATGTATGGAGATGAAGCCGGTGCGCTTCTTGGGCAGATAGTCGTACTACAAAGCCTAATTTGGTACAACTTATTATTGTTTCTGTTTGAGCTCTCAGCTGCAAGGGCAGCTCAACCATCTGAAGATCATAGAGGTATGTGATCATCTGATTTAGGGTCTATCTGTTGGTAGCTAAATGAGTTTAATGGGATTCACAGCTTATTCAATCAGATTAGTTATTTATAGGCCACATATACATTGAAAACCTCTATTATATAAGAAGTTAGAAAACAAGTTTCTTTTGTAATTGTGAGTGTCCGGGCCAGCTTGAGTGCACCTCGATTAATCCCATGGGGCCGTGATATTATAACAGCCAGGAAAACTCCCAATGGCTCTAAGGAGATTCAAACTGACTACCTATGACGAGGAGCCCTGAGGCCCGACCTCTATTTGGCAGTTGAGCTGGCCCTTAAGGTTTATATAAAGAAACTTAAGTTGGAGACAATTTGTAATCGTGGTGAACCAAGACCAAACATGTTACTGATTTCCCATTTATGATTTTGAACTTTGGATGTCCATCAATTAAACACTACAGAATAATAGAAGATAGCAAAAAAGTGTCGGAATGGCCATATCTGATTGTGTTACGTAGCTACATATAGGTTTGTAACGGCTAAATCAATTTTTAAAACTCATAACAATTTGCTTAAATGTCAATTTTCAAAACCTAAACTAAACAAAATGTTTCGTATTTAGAAAAGCCTTTAAACTTATTTCGAAGGAACAATAATTGTCAATGGAATTTCTCTATCTCCAACAGGTATGTTATATTTTCTCCCTTTTTTTCTAGATTTGGAGATTTCTCCATTCTCTCTCCTTTTTTTTCTCTATTTTAGAGTAGAGTTTAGCATAGTTGTTGGAGCAAACTTTTTCAAAATCTCCAAAATTTATAAAATAGTATAGTTGTTGGAGATGCTTTAAATAACCAGTTTTCCTACAGACGCCGAAGAAGAACAAGGAGTAGAGGAACGGGAAGAGGCTAAATCCAGAACTCCAAGAACAAAAGTAATGTCCATCCTTCTAACTGTATGGAAGAAACTTCTGATCAATCCCAATACTCATGCAACTGTATTAGGTCTTGCATGGGCAACCATAAGCTTCAGGTAAAGCTTTCACATGTATCATAGGTACGAACAACTTAAAAGTTACAACAAAAATTTGTGATGTAGGAACATAACAATTAATACCAAAGGGTCATTGGCCCAATGTATATGGGTTACTGGTAGAGCCTAGCCTCCCTGGAGGTCATGGGTTCAAAGCCTTAACAAAGGTGAGGAGCGTGCGAGTGTTTTCCATATATTAATATTATATACTTAAAAAAACATAACAATTAATAAAAAGGGTTTTACACAGGTGGGATATAAGATTGCCGAACATTGTGGAGAATTCTATATCGATATTGTCAGATGGAGGACTTGGAATGGCAATGTTCAGCTTAGGTACCAACATAGAACTTTAACTCTGTTACTTATGGCATCACAGGCAAAAATAAAAACTTTAAGCTCTATTGCTTGATAGGTCTATTCATGGCATCACAAACAAGCCTAATAGCATGTGGTACCCGAATGGCATTGTTGGCCATGGTCTTGAAGTTCATAGTTGGACCTGCTATAATGGTAGCTCCCTCTCTTGCTATTGGATTGAGGGGAGTATTGTTTAAAATTGCAACCATACAGGTGGACTTATACTTTTCTTGTAATGATACCAAAGGGAGTGTTTGGATGTGCGTTTTGAAACTGATTATTACAGCTTGGATACTCATAATCAAATAATCAGTAGGTATTAAAGCTAAAAATGGATATGTACTTTTAGATTCATCTTAATAATCAATGTTCTTACCTTTTTTTCTTATATGGTTCTCCAAATCTGGTTATTTTGACCCTAAAATAATCAGAAAATCATAACCATGATGTTTTTTGTACCCAAACACTCATAACCGATTGTTTAAACGCACAACTTAACACCCCTATGATTATAGAGTTGCCTTCCGGTAAGAATAGTAGTTACCATGAGAAGGGTAAGAAGGGATCTCCACCCTGGATCAATCCTAATTGAAGATCAATTGAAAATGCCCTTCTAAGCTAATTCATAGGTTATTTTGGGACTTAATTTGAACCATTAGATCAACATTAACTCAAGTGATCAAGGGTCCAAATTTCTTCTTATACTTCTCACCTTAACTCCTATTCTCAACCCATCCTTCGTCATGATCATATAGCTATATGTATGTACGTATACATATACATGTGAGTGTGGACGCCGATGTGCATATAGCCAGATAGTAATATTATATCTTTCTAAACCTCTTATGTATGTGTGTGTGTGTGTGTATAAGTAACAATGTCCTGTGTGGTCCAGGCAGCTCTTCCTCAGGGAATTGTACCATTTGTATTTGCGAAGGAGTATAATGTGCACCCAGAAATCTTGAGCACCAGGTACTAACCACTGTCTCCCTTATGAAATAATTCGATTTGATTTGAAGAAACAATACGAATATGATACAATCTAATTGCAGCATACTCATCGGCTTGCTTGTAGCATTGCCAGTCGCATTGGTCTACTACTTGTTGTTAGGGTTGTAAGCAACGCACAGAGGATGATCTGTCGAAAAATAGGGTCTCGAAATTCATGTATAAAGTGTGCGATTCATGTAAATTTCAAGGAACTCTATGAATCATATGTGATTTATAAATAAACAAACGAAATAGTATAAGTTAATTTCAAAGGAATTTGATTCAGGCATGTGATCAAGTACCTGGCTCTGGTTTCATAAGCAGATCGACCTGCCATTTTTATCCCATTTTGTCGTTGATTAAATCATTAAAGGATCTCTCCGAATATCATATAGCATCTATTTATACGTCGATCGACGAAGAAGATGAAGATTGGTCCCTGTAGTTTTTCAAAAATAACACTTTTAGTCCCTGAAGTTTTTAAAATTACAAGATAACCATCATGGTTTGCAAAACGTCTGAATTTGGTCTCTACCTCTAACAGTCGTTAAGAATTTTCTTTAAATAAGAAACATTTCCGTCTCCACAATTTCAAGATTACAAGATGACCCGAAGGGTGCTCAAAAAACCGATCAACCTGCCTAACTCAACCCGAAAAAACTCGAAAAAATCAACCTAAGGTAACCCGTTATATAATCGATAAAAAAAATTTAGGCCAAAATGAATCTACTGGGTTGAGATTGAGGTTAGGCCCAAAGTAACCAGACCAACCCGATAACCCGATGAAATTTTTAGCGGCCTCTCTAAAATTAGTTGTATTTATCTTTAATATATATAAGCTACCAAAAACGACTCGGCAACAACGGACAATGAGACTTGTAAAAGGACATTATTGGGAGTTATATGTAATACCTAAATATTTGATGAACTCGTATATTCTCTTGAATGATTGATCGTATTTCAAATGAATGTTTCCTTTGTTTTTATGTTTCCAGTATTGATTTTACTTTGTTTAAACACAATCAGGGTCGGGTTTTTGATGCCTTATGTGGGAATGCTTAAAAATGGCTCGTGTTGATTTTCCAAACAAACGAAACGTACTATTTTCTAAAGGATTTATGATTTAGTAAAGCTAGGTGCCTCATCCTCACGTCGAAGGAATCAAAACAGACGAATGAGAAGGGATGAGGGGCAACATGAATCAGTTTGGTTGTTCACTTGTGTTGACGATCGTATTCACGTTGTCTTTGTTAATTAGATTAGCAGATTTGTTGATGTCGTGAGCGGCTTGGATTGTTGTTTACAACCCATGTGATTAAACAAAGCTAATCTATACTATCTATACTATATTATAAAACATTTGGCTAAAACTCTTAAAACCGTTCATCCCTATYCGATTTCATTTCATATCTGAATTCGTGTAACTAACTGCAGATAAACACAATCAAATACAGGATAAACATCTCATCTTAAATATAGAAAATCTAAAATATAATTAGTATAATCATTAAATTCTAACAGAATACTTAATTATTATCTTTATAAAATT